TATCTGGTCCTGGTCTCTGGTCCAGGTCTTTATCTGGTCCTGGTCTCCATCTCTCTCTCTCTGGTTCTGGTCCCTCTCTGGTTCTGGTCCCTCTCTGGTTCTGGTCCCTCTCTGGTTCTGGTCCCTCTCTCTCTGGTCTCTCTCTCTCTGGTTCAGGTCCCTCTCTGGTTCTGGTCCCTCTCTGGTTCTGGTCCCTCTCTGGTTCTGGTCCCTCTCTGGTTCTGGTCCCTCTCTGGTTCTGGTCTCTCTCTGGTTCTGGTCCCTCTCTCCCTGATGGACCCTTTAATCTCAGAGCTAGAGCCTCGTGGTGCAGCTGGGTCACTCGGTTCTTCACCATGAACCAGTTCCTCTAAAACCAGGGATCTGCTGCCCCCTGCTGGACACACGTAGCTGGCCCCCTGTGATCTTTTGTAAGGAACTTTGAAACTTGCCGTTTTACTTTTTAGATGAGTGACACCACTAAACTTTTACTGAGCGGTTCTGATCTCCTTCAGGCCGGGTCCTGGTCCCCCCGGCCCCCCCAGAGATCCCACAGAGCGTTCGCATTAGCATTAGCATCTCTAACCCACAGGTCTGTGTCCTAACCATTAAGTTGTTATCAGAGTAAATCCCTGTTCAACATGAGTCTGACAACTAAGTAAGTAGATAAATAACTTTAAACTTTAACACATGCTCTGATAGGCCGGGATCGGATCGCAAGTGATCCAGTTTTTTTTTTTTTTAAAGTCAGATATCCAGGCCGGCCATTTCCAGCACAGCTTTAAGCATTAGCATTAGCATTAGCATCTCTTAACCCACAGGTCTGGGTCCCAACCATTAAGACGGCAATGTAAATTTAAAGCTAAAAATGTCAGTTGTGTTGGATTATTTTATCCTATTTTGTGTTTATCCCTGATTAAACAGGTTCAGTGTCTCTTTTACCAACCAGTGTGTATTATTCAAACTCACCTAATTCAGATGGTTAGTTGTTATCAGAGTAAATCCCTGTTCAACATGAGTCTGACAACTAAGTAAGTAAGTAGGCCCAAAGAGACACATAGAGACCCAAAGGGACCCATAGAGACCCGGAGAAGCTCAAAGAGGCCCAAAGGGACCCAAAGGGACCTAAAGGGACCCTTAGAGACACAGAGAACCATTAAGCTGTTAGAGTAAATCCCTGTTCAACTTGAGTCTGACCACTAAGTAAGTAGATAAATAACTTTAAACTTTAAAACATGCTCTGATAGGCCAGGATCGGAAGTGATCCAGTTTATTTTATTTTTTTATTTTTTTTAAAGTCAGATATCCAGGCAGGCCATTTCCAGCACAGCCTTAAGCATTAGCATTGGCATCTCCTGACCCACAGGTCTGGGTCCTAACCATTAAGACGGCCATGTAAATTTGAAGCTAAAAATGTCAGTTGTGTTGGATTATTTTATCCTATTTTGTGTTTATCCCTGATTAAACAGGTTCAGTGTCTCTTTTACCAACCATTGTGTATTATTCAAACTCTCCTAATTCAGCTGGTTAGTTGTTATCAGAGTAAATCCCTGTTCAACGTGAGTCTGACAACTAAGTAAGTAAGTAGACCCAAAGAGACCCATAGGGACCCAAAGGGACCCATAGAGACCCAGAGAAGCTCAAAGAGACCCATAGAGGCCCAAAGAGACACAGAGACCCAAAGAGACACATAGAGACCCAAAGGGACCCATAGAGACCCAGAGAACCATTAAGCTGTTATCAGAGTAAATCCCTGTTCAACATGAGTCTGACAACTAAGTAAGTAGATAAATAACTTCAAACTTTAATACATGCTCTGATAGGCCGGGATCGGAAGTGATCCAGTTTTTTTGTTTGTTTTTTTAAAGTCAGATATCCAGGCCGGCCTTACATACTGTATTAACATGAGCATTAGCATCTTCTAACCCACAGGTCTGGGTCCTAACCATTAAGACGGCCAGTGTCTCTTTTACCAACCAGTGTGTATTATTCAAACTCACCTAATTCAGCTGGCTAGTTGTTATCAGAGTAAATCCCTGTTCAACATGAGTCTGACAACTAAGTAAGTAGATAAATAACTTTAGACTGTAACACATGCTCTGATAGGCCGGGATCGGAAGTGATCCAGTTTTTTTTTTTTTAAAGTCAGATCTGTGTTTTCCAGCACACTGATTGAAATAATCCCTTCCACTTTGCTGTGTTGTTCCCCAATATCCAGGGCGTCCATTTTCCAGCACAGCCTTAAGCACTAGCATTAGCTTTAGCATCTGTAACCCACAGGTCTGTGTCCTAACCATTAAGTTGTTATCAGAGTAAATCCCTGTTCAACATGAGTCTGACAACTAAGTAAGTAAGTAGGCCCAAAGAGACCCATAGAGACCCTAAGGGACCCATAGAGACCCATAGAGACCTAGAGAACCATAAGTTGTTATCAGAGTAAATCCCTGTTCAACATGAGTCTGACAACTAAGTAAGTAGATAGATAACTTTAGACTGTAACACATGCTCTGATAGGCCGGGATCTGGACCTCCCTACCTCAGACCCAGACCCAGAGGGGGGGGGGGGGGCTTACCACAGACTCCAGGTGCTCCTGCAGGCAGGTGTACCAGGACTTCTTCACTGACATCACTCCGTCGCTGAAGGCCTCTTTGCGTCTCCACAGGATCTCCTCAGGAATCAGGTTCAGCCCCTTAAAGGCGTCCCTCAGGAGGTGCTTCTCCACGCCCTCCTGCAGCAGAGAGACATTCACCCTCTGCAGGGAGCCAGGGACGGATATCCAACCCCCCCACATCCAACTCGGCCATTTTGATTAGGTCATCAATAGGAAGATCCCAGGCAAGAAAATCCTAATTGCTTCATGGCAATATAGACATTCATTTAGAAATGGTGAAATTAATCTTGCAAACACTGAATTGAACTCTATACGTAATATTATGTTAAAATAGTGGATGTTAAATAAGTTTGTACAATAAGTCCAAACAAGTTTAACCAAAAAATATTCATTTCCCACAATAATGAAGGGTGGAGGGTTAGGGTTAGGTTTAGGGTCAGGGTTAGGTTTAGGATTAGGGTTAGGGTCAGGGATAAGTTTAGGTTTAATTTTAAGGTTAGGACATTGTTTGTCTTCCGATTTCGTATAGACAGTAAAGTTTCGTTTCCACCTCAGAAAGTTGCTAGTCACATGACCTAATCAAAATGGCTGACTTGGATGTGGGAGGA